CATATTCTGTTTGTACTTTTCATAGGGACATCCATCATAAGAGTGATAGAAACTTTTGGCAAGCATGTTTTATTCTCTACATAGTATTGATCAAGGATTATTGAACGAAGTTCTTAGTGGCTGAATCATCCAAGAATTCTTGTGTAATCTATATGTCTATGTGGGACATAATCTACTGGAGGAATACTCTTGTGGCTACATTTTGCTCTAGTCAATGATTGTCAATAAACATTTATTAAGCACTTACTATCAGGGCACTGTGTTGAGTGTTGAGGACACAAATAAAATAAAAAGACAGTCTTTGTCATCAAGGAGCTTACAATCTAATGGAGAAAGACAAACAACATACAAAAGGAAACTGAAAAACGGAGGGGACCAAGTTGGAACGAAATAATGGGCTCTGTCTCTCAGATGTAAGATAATAATTATTAAAATACCTTGGAAAGAAAAGCTAAATCAAAGAATTAAATGTCACTTAAAATTTACCAGGTATTTGACTACTTAAAATTCTGACAACACACCTCTGATTAAGATTGTATTACCAGCTCCCCAGTCTTCACGTACCAGAGGTTTAAGCTATCATAATGATTTCAATAGACTAGATACTGTCAGGAGTTAAAAAAAAATTTGTCTCCCACGATACAGGCATAGTGCTTGCCAATTGTAAAAAAGCTTTTAGATAAATAAAAACTGCTTTAAGGTATTAACAATTTAATAACCTGTTATTTGCCTAGTTGATTGGTATATTGTTATGATTATTATTCTCATGTGTTGGATTTCAACAATGTCACATGTATTCATATGTGTTGGATTTCAACATTGTGTAGTGCTGACATTCTAATTATGCTACAGGTCTAGTGACAAATACAACATTTCCATGTTGTTCCTTTATTGATTATTCTTGTCAGCATTTGAGATGTTTAAAGAAACATAACATACTGTTTTTGCCAGTAGATTAGAAGAATGTCAGCGTAGTGATTATTTTGTATTAAAGTAATCTTTTGATTACTAATCTATTTAGGTCTTAACTTAAAAAGCCATTTTTCTGTACTACCAATTGCAGAGCAGAAAATTTGTAGTCTTTACTCAAGAAAATTAAAAAAAAAAACTTTGCGAGTATCATTTTTCTCTTGAGGAGAGAAGGATTGCTGGATTTCACAATTAAAGAAGTCTCTGTGCTGGAAATGAGCAGTCAATTATGAAAATTATTTTTGAATAGTTAATTTGCATATCCCTAATTATATGTGCTCCTTTTGAAAGGCTGAAGTTGGTATTTATGATGTTTTGATTGATTAGTAATGCAATTGTGTTATTAATGTTGTTGCCAACAAGGTGCCCTTATAAATGGGGTTTTGAGCAGCTTTTCTAACGAAATGTTTTTAATAATGGTTAGATTTGCTTTATGTAGAGGGTGATGAAAGACCTAATTTCCATTAGTTAGCTTATTTTTTCTTTAAAGTATGACATTCAGCTTACTTTTACAGAATATCCATCTAAAGTAGATTGACTCATACTAGGATGTTAATTGTTTATCTAATATTTTAAAGTGAAAAATCATCCATCATTAGGAGAAATCAGTATAAAATACAATGCTTACAAAGCTCGTCTTCTAGCTAATGACTGAATTTCAAGTTTCCATTTCATCAGATTTACATATATGTTGTTATTCAGGTTAGCAGTTATAATAGCATAGAATTTGATCTTCTTCAAAGAACCACTTTATTGGTATTTGATTTTTTTAAAAAGCATAGAATATCACAGAATCTTAGATTATGAATGGATCTCAGAAACCATCTAGTCCACTGGTAAGTAAAAAAAGAATTCACCTCTAACAACATACATATAAGGGGTTCTTCAGTCAAGTTCATTATTGAATAAATAAATGTGATCTTCCAAGGCTGTGTAGTATTATATTCTGTTCAAGAGGAAACCTTTCACAGATAAGAATCTCATAATAGTTAAAACTGGAAGAGAACTCATACAGTGTCTAGTCCAACCTTAAGCTACATAGAGGGAACACATTAGTATATTGTCCAAGATAATATAAGTTACCATTTGAAGAACAAGCATTAGATTCTGTCCCTGCTTGACCTCAGGGAAGCTGCTATATAATTTGGGGAAAGAAATTGGTATACTATAATTAATATAAATATGTATCTTTTTGTTTAAAAACCTGTGATTTCATCTATTTAGGGAAAACTTTGTGTGGAGAGTCCCTGTATGATATTGACAGCAAAGCACCTGTAGTTTTATAGTTTTAGATACCTGAGAGGTTAAGGGAGTTGTCTTTTTAACCTTTCTATGGTCCAATAGCTATCATGTATCAAAGCAGAATTTGAGATGTTCTTTAATCCAAGGACTAAGTCCTCTTTCTATGATAGCAAATATTTACACATTCATTAATAAAAATGTATTGAATCATGTTCAGGGCTTTGTGGGGGCACAAAGAATGTCCGTGGCATGGCTCTTACCCTCATATATCCTCTAGTCTAATAGGGAAGATAACTTCCTTCTACATTTATTAATCATTTGCAGTAGATGGAATGCAAAGGTTGGCACAGGGGGAGATACAAAGTTAGACAAGTCAATCTGGGTCCCCATGAAGCTAACATGGTAGGGAAATGGGACACATTCACAAATAATTATAATTCAAAGTTCAATGAGAAAGTGTAAATACAAAGTACTGTTAGGTTAGAGTGGAGTGATAATTTCTTACTTGGTGGGAAGAGTGGGGGTTTCATGGAGATGTTATTTGACCTGGGTCTTGGAGCATGGTCAGGATTAGACAATATAATTGTGGTACCTCTTGTAAAAGATAGTATCATTTTGTGTGTACTTTTTGGATTGGGCCTGTGAGGAAACTCCCTCTAACAATGTGGATCATTGTGTACTATGAAATTTTGAGTCTTAGACAGTGGCTAAGAACACAAATAGATTAAGTGCCTTGCCTAGGATCATACAACATGCATGTGTCAGAGGCAACCCCTGAATCCTGCCTGGTGTATATAATTACTGATTGTAATTATTTTTCTTAAATTAATTTTTTTTTCATTCAGCCAAGTCTGCCTTTTATTTTTCCTACCTCATGCCCCAGTTTCAAAAGAAAAGAAAGCAAAAAGCAAAACCCTTATTACAAACAAACATAGTCAAGCAAAATTTCCACATTGACCATGTCCAAAAAACTATGTCTCATTCTTCACTCTGAATCCTTCACCTCTCCATCAGGACATAGGTAACATGTTTCATCATTAGTCCACTAGATTCATGGTTGGTTATTACACTGATCAGAGTTCCTAATTCTTTCTTTTATTTGTCTTTACTATACTGTTGACATTGAATAAATTGTTCTCTTGTTTCTACTCATTCTGTATCACTTCATATTCAGTTTCCCCAGGTTTCTCTGAAACCATCCCCTTCATCATTTTTATAACACAGTAGTAGTCCATCACATTTGTAATTCTATAACTAATTCAGTCTTTCCCCAATTTATGGGCACCTCTTCTTTCTCCCTTCTTTGCTCTGTTGAGTGAAATGTATTGTTGTACCCAACTCTATGTGTATATGTGTGATTTCTCTCCTTTGACCAGTTCAAATGAGAGTTAGGTTCAAACTGCTCACCCCAACCCTTCTTCCTTGTTTATGTAGTTGTCTACTTATCCTCCCTCCTCCAACTGTAATTAGAATATAAGGATTCTATCATCCTCCCCCCCTGCCCTGTTGCCTTTGGGACCAATCCCATACTGTTCTCCCTGCCTTCCCACTCCTAAAACATTGATTATCTTCTTTTCATTATTTGACTTCTCAAAGCCCACTCTGATGCCCTAGGTTGGCCCTCTCTGGGCAGTACCTTTTCTTGAGCCACCTTCCTTCTCATCCCCCATTCTCCCCACCTGCTGCCCCCATTTCCTTAGAGCACTGTTATTTTTGTTTTAACCTAATTAATGTGGTCATTTAATTTACACTGGTGTATTTACAGGTGCTGATATTTTATTTGTTCTCCTTTACAGGCAACAATGCTGCATTGGCTTTCAATGATAGTGTCTCAGCACAAAGGAGTGACTCAGATAGGGTTACTAGAGATGTTTATAACAAGTTAGTGCAGGAAAGATTTTTAGACAAATGAGGCCTTGTGTCACTATGCAATCATGTCACATAAAAAAACCTACTTCTAGGACCAACCCTGGTGACCTAGTGGCAAAATTTCTTCCCCTTCCCCTCTCGTTTTTTTTAGAGCATCCAATAAATTTTGGAGTCAGAATACCCAGGTTCAAATTTAACCTCTGATATTGAAGAGCAGCATGCCTTTGGCCAAATCACTTAGTTGTCTGTGTCTTAGTTTCCTCATCTGCAAAATGAGATTGTGGGACTAGATTATCTGTTGCATAGCTTCCAGCTAAAGATTTGGATTTTGTTTTTTAAGACGATATTTTCAGGAGCCTTACATAAGGAATAGGGCATTTATTGAACTCAGGATGATATAGCAAAAAAGAGCAGTGGTAATTGAATCAGAAGACTTGGGTTTAAGGCCCAGCTTTTCACTAGCTCTAGGAACTTGCTCATCACCAAAGTTTACTCGTATGGAAAATGTGGGTAACATTACGCATATTTACCTACTTCACAAGTCTGTTGTAAGGATCTAATTAAATAATCTGTTTAAAAAGCTTTATAATCCTAAAGAGCCTTATAAATGTGACATATTTGTCATTATTAGTGTTGACCCAAATCTATTCTTTAGTTTTGAAAAAAAAATCAGAGAAAACTTTTCTCCTAATTGATAGGGGGATGAAGAAGATTGGTTAGAGCACAGAGACCCAGGCAGAGAACAAGTAATCATAGAGAATTAAGGAAGTTGGTAAGCATTTTAGAGTCCTTTATAAAGACTCTAAGAACCACCTTCATCTAAAAACGATAGGAAAGATGGAATTAGAATTGGTATATTCTGTGTTGAAATAAAATTTATACAGTGTAAAATAACTCCATTTTTATTGCTTTATTTATAGCTGATTGCTGTGTTTGATGAACAAGAATCTGTTCCTAAGGTTGAGAGCCCCAGTGGAAACCTAACAGAGAGCCACAGCCCAGATGCTTTTGATGCAGAAGTGGCTACCCAACTGGCTGCCTTTAAGCCCATTGGTGGAGAAATTGAAGTAACTACTTCTGCTCTGAAATTAGGTATGTATGTGTACTAGGTGTGCTGCCTCCAATGTCTGAAGTGACTGTTTGGTATAGAAGAGGAATTTATATTAGGTAAGCTTCAGTTTTATGCCTCTATAGTCATTTAACTTGTTTTCTTTAAAAGAAATAATTTCCTCTTCATTTCTTTCCCTCTAGAACGACCGTTTGCATGTTTGGTTCTGATGGTATTTAGGGAACAGCAGAAAGCCTTTGCTCTTTTCATCTTTCTCATGCAACAGCCTCTTAATTGGTCTCCCTGCCTCAAGTCCCCACCTTCTCCCATCCATCTTTCACATAGTTATTAATATGATTTTCCCAAAATGCAGACAAGTCTGACCATTCCATTTTCCTACTCAGTACATTCGGATGGCTCTCTATTTCTTGTAAGATCAAATATAAACTTATCTGACTTTTAAAATGCTTCATAAACTTCACAAAACATTCCAGTTTTCTTTTATATTACTCACATTCCTGTTTGCTACAATTTAGGGAAATTGAGGTTAATGTCCTGCACAAAGAGCACTCTGGCTTCTGTCTTTGTGCCTTTCCACACCGGCCGTAATTTTTACCAGCAGTACACTCACTCCTCGACACCTCCTCCTAGAATCCTTGATTTCCTTCAAAATTTAGCTCAGGTTCCTCCTTCTATATAAGTCCTCCCTGATTCCCATAGCTCTTAGTGTCTCCCCTAAGTGGTATAAGATAGAAAGCCAGGCCTAGAGTTAGGAAGACTCCTCTTCCTGAGTTTAAATCTGGCCTCAGACACTTACTGGGCAAGTCACTTAACCCTTTTTGCCCCCTCTATAAAATGAGCTGGAGAAGGAAAGGCAAATCACTCCAGTATCTTTAACAAGAAAACCCCAAAAGGGGTCACAGAGAGTTGGAAATGACTGAAAAATGACTAAACAAAGAACAACAAAACTGCCCAGATTGACAGAAGAGGAATAGAATATTTAAATAACCCTACTTTAGGAAAAGAAATTAAACAAGCCTTCAATGAGCTCCCTAAGAAAACATCCCCAGGCCCAGATGAATTTACAAGTGAATTCTGCCAAACATTTAAGGAACAATAAATCCCAAAACTATATAATTTCAAAAAAAAATAGGTAAAGAACTCCTACCAAATTCCTTTTATGATGTAAATATGATTTGAATACCTAAACCAGAGAGAGCAAAAACTGAGGAAGAGAATTATAGACTGGTTTACTTAATGAGTATCAATGCAAATATTTTAAATAAAATACTAGCAAGGAGATTATAGCAATATATCACAAAGATCATACACTATGACCAGGTGGGATTTATACAAAGAATTCTGGGCTGGTTCAAAATAAGGAAATCTATCAGCATAATTGACCATATCATTAACAAAAATGACAAAAATATGATTGTATGTTATATCTATATCATACTATCATAGCGATAGATGCAGAAAAAGCTTTTGACAAAATATAATACCCATTTCTATTAAAAACACTAGAAAGCATAGGAATCAATGGAGCTTTTCTTAAAATATTAAGGAGAATCTATCTAAAACCAAGAGCAAACATTATCTGTAGTGGGGATAAACTTGAAACCTTCCCAGTGAGATCAGGGGTGAAACAAAGATGTCCATTATCAATACTGTTCAAGAAGTGCTAGAAAAAAGAATTGAAAGAATTAGAATAGATGATGAGGAAACACAGCCATCACTTTTTGCAGATGATATGATGGTATACTTATAGAACCCTGGAGAATCAACCAAAAAACTAGTTCTGACAATTAACAGCTTCAGTAAATTTGCAGGATATAAAATAAACCCACATAAATTGTCAGCATCCCTATATACTACCAACAAATTCCAGCAGGAAGAGATAGAATGAGAAATTCTATTTTAAATAACTTCAAACTATGTGAAATACTTGGGAGTCTACCTACCAATTCAGACATAGGGATTATATAAACACAATTTCAAACAAAACAAAATAAAACAAAAAGTTTTCACACATTTAAAGACAGAACTAAACAATTAAAGAAATATTAGTTGCTCATGGGTAGGTCAAGCCTGTATAATAAAAATGACAATTCTACCTAAATTAATTTACTTATTCATTGCCATTATAATCAAACTACCAAAAATTATTTTATAGACCTAGAAAAATAGTAATAGAATTCATCTGGAAAAAGAAGAGGAGGTCAAGAATATTAAGGAAATCATTGAAAAAATGTTAATCAAGGAGGGCTGGCAGTTCAAGATTTTAAATTAAATTACAAAGCAGTAATCATCAAAACTATCTGGTACTGGCTAAAAAATTGAATAGTGAATCAGTGGAATAGATTAAGTATATAATGCAAGGTAATGACCATTGAAAAACCTAAAGATTCAAACTTTGGGGTTGAGAACTCAACATTTGACAAAAATTGCTGGGAAAACTGGGAAGCAGTTTGAGTAAGTTTGACTAAGCATAAACCAGTATCTAATAGCATATACCAAGATTAGGTCAAAATGGATAAATTATTTAGAGATAAATGGTGATATAAATAAGTTAGGGGTATGTGGTAAAATGTACCTGTCAGGTCTATGGATGAGGATATAAATGGGCAGTTTTTAGAAGAAGAAATCAAAACTATCACTACTGATTATAGAGAAATGAAAATTAAAACAACTCTGAGATGCTACCTCATACCTGTCTGATTAGCTAAAATGATAGAAAAGGAAAATGAGAAATTCTGGAAGGACTTTGGGAAAATTGGGGCATTAATGTACTGTTGGTATAGTTGTGAACTAGTCCAAACATTCTGGAAAACAATTTGGAACTATACCCCAAAGGCCATAAAACTGCATCCCCTTTGACCCTCATTGTTGCAGGACCCAAAAAAGTCTAATGAGGGAACTAGTTCATCATCTCAAAGCCCAGGTCCTTCAGTGTTGAGGCCCGTGTCACCAGAAATTTCCAGAACAGCTCAGCCCAGCTCCATTCTTACTCCATGGAATGGCTCCTGGAAACCCATCACCCATACATATTCCACAGAGATCCAGCATATTTTCATTGGCAAATGCATCTTTGCAGCTAGGTAGCACATTTGATAAAGTGCCAAGCCTGGAGTCCAGAAGACTCATCTTTGTGAATTCAAATCAGATACTTAATAGCTGTAGGTCCCTGAGCAAGTCACTTAATCCTGTTTGCCTCATTTGTTCCTTATTTGTAAAATGAGCTGGAGAAGGAAAACCACTCCAGTAACTTTTCCAAGAAAATCCCAAATAGGGTCATGAAGAGTTCACCCCACTAAAAGTACTGAACAACAGCAACATATGTATCTCTGCTGGCAGAATAAAAACTCCCTGAGGGAAAGAACTTTTTTTTTCACTTTTTTTCATCCTTAGCATCTAGCGTAATTACTGAAATTTGGTCAGTTCTTGATAAATGCTCATCAGTTGATTGATTTTCAGTATCACACTAAAGGCTAAAGTATTGATGGTTAGGAGTTGACCAATATAATAAATTGAAAAGAGTTTTCATGTAGCTTAGTTTGTTCCCTTAAAACTGCCCCAAAATAATTTAGACTTAGCTAAGGTTCACTGAGGAATATGGACAAGAAATAAAGGCCACTTTCTACTATTTATACTTTGATCCCAAGGGCAGATCTTGAATTTTGGAAAGAGTTTTGGAATTGTAGCTTTGAAGGTGATAAATGCTGCTTTGTTTAAAAAGAAATACAGAGAAGATGTTTTATTTAGAATTGTCTCTGGTTATATTGAGGTTTTTTTCTTTCAATGTACTTTTTTACTTCTTGAAATCTGAAATCTGCCTGTGGGGTTACCAGTATGGGAGGATGAACAAATAGATACTCTGCAAATATTTCACTGAAATTGTATTTGTTCCTTATCAAAATATCAAAATAACATTTTCACTGGTGTCACTTGAAACTTTGCTCTTTTATTTTCTTCTAATCTTAGATAATATTCGGTTCAATATATCTGTGCTCTGAGTGACCCATCAATATTTCTTGAATTTCACTCTTAAGAAACCTCCCCCTCTCATTTTCCCCTCCTATTTACCATGTAGACAAAGGGTTTGTTAGGGTAACTCACCAGTGTTAGGGTAACTCATGTTAGAAGAAAGGAGAGTATCCTTGGGTGGCAAAGGGAATGCTGTGAATGTGACAGCCATATTTACTTCTGTTTATTTTTTAAATTTTATCCATTTTATTCTGAACTTAAGAAATAAAACAAGTGTTTCCATAAATCTAGTAGAATAGAAAAAAATATGACTGTACAAGAAATTTCAAATCTATTATGTACAACTTGCTATTCCTTTTAAATATATAATAAAGTTATCAGATAATTTTTCCCTTTCCTTCCTCCTTCTCCTCCCCCCACCTCTCCCTAATAGACATAGTATGAGTTCTTCCTTTTGGAAATGAAACATAAATCATTTTTTCAACCTTTTTCACAAGCTATGCCCTCTGCTTGGAGTATTCTCCCTTTTTACCTTTACCACTTGGAATCCTTTGCTCTATTAACTTAGGTAACATAGTCACTTTCCAGTTAGTGCTTTTGCCTCTCCAAACCCCCTCCAAAACCCAAATTAAAAATCTTTGTATTTGCTTATCTGTGTACATTTTGTAGTCTCTTTGGAGACTTTAATCTCTGTCATGGCTGGAACTCACTTATTTTTTTTTTCATCTTTCCATCTTTAGTATTTAGTACAGTGCCTGGGAAGTTGGCATTTAATAAAAGCTTATTGTTGAGTTGGGTTGAATTGAATTTTATGTGGGTGATATGACATAGTGAAAAGAGTACTGGACTTGAAATCAGGAGATCCAAGATTTAATCTTGTTTCTACTACTTTTAAGCCTTTGGACTTCAGACTACTCTTGATGTTTACCTTATTTATAAAGTTAGCAGGTAAATAATATTCTGCAATGCTCAGTGCTACCAATGTGCATAGTCCTGATACAGTCAACTTCCTGAAAAAAAGCTTTAGCTCTTTGAGAACGGTGAAAAGGACATGAAA